CATATTTTTCCCTCACAGATAATTATATTTAATTATTCACTAAATCCACATTTCTGAGAACAAAAGCGAAGAAACAGTAGTATTGGCGGGCTCAGGTGGCATATGGAATCGTTGGGCATAATCTTTATAATGCGAATATGATAATTGAATTGTTATCCCTGGAGGGTGGATTCGGTTTTGCTTTCAATCTGAAATGCTTCTGCATTCATTCCATTGCACATTTAATCTTGTAAAGCTTAGCTGCAAGCTTTAAAATATATTTAAAATGTTTTTCAACTGCTCCATTCGTGTGACTGAGAAGAAGATGCCTCCATTCTGCATTAATACCCGAAGAGGCTAGCACAAAACGAGAAAATGGTTTTTTTTTTATTTTTTATTTTTGAAAACTTTATTAGCTTCAAGTAACGCTGCTATTAGAGAATTCTTCACGAGTTTTTGCCTGCTTTCAAAAGCATCAGGAAAAAAGGCAGTTACTTGGCTTTATAAAGCATTGTTCATTTGTTGAATGCACTAGTAGTTCCGATTGTTTGTGCGCTAGCAACCCTGAAATTTGATTGCATCTAATTAATTCTTCGTTATCTCCGTCTTCAAGTTCAAACTGGTGCCGGCTTCATGACTCGAGAACCAAAAAGCTACATGATGTAGATTTTGAAAGATCAGTTATCAAAACAGTTTAAAGTACATTTTTTGTGACCAAGTTCCAAGTTTACATAATTCTCACCTATGATCCCAGGCCACATTCGGAATGATTCGCAGATTCTGCATAAAGCAAAGCGTGAAATTTGCGCTAGCAATAGATTTCCTATTTTACGAGTAAATTACTACTTCAAGTCATTTTGCCAAAGTTTGAAATCTGGTTTTATGAACGACGCATCGCTAAATACCTCGGAGCTGCGCATATACTATTCATGCGTTGAACTGGTTAAAAATTATTTGGTCCACTTTAACACATTTAACGGTCTGCAGCAAAAAACAGCCAGCTTCTCTGACATTTCGATGTGTATGGCTTTTATTTTTGCTAATCGTCCGTGCAAAGTAAGTCTTGTTCAGTGCTGCAGACACACACATTATTTCGGAAGGTGTTCGCTCGTTTATAGAGCCTTTTAAATTTATTTGCAGTGAAGTGGCTCAAGTATTGCATGCCATAAATATTTTATAGCGCTTAGCTTATTTCTCACTGGACAGTTGTCATTTCTCAGCCTACGCCATGTTGCAAGCAAGTCGTCAAATGTATCTCACCGAACCATTGTGATTACGCGTCATTTTTCCTCAGCATTGCTCACCCCACCTTCCGTAAGGTACATCTGATCCGAACTTGTCTGAACGGATGCGCATACCAATTCGGGAGAAATAAATCAGCTTCACGAACGCATGGAACTACAACCCCCTCACATAGATGATTCTTGGAACGTATTGTTTTTGTGTGTTCTGACACAGTGGCGTGTTCAGCAGCTTTAGGCACGTTATCACAGTTGCAGTCTACAGCTTGTAGCAATATCTCATTGGGAAATTTGGGGGTGAATGCGCCTCGTTTCGCAAACTGTTAAACTTTTATTTCGCAAACTGTAAAGAATGCTTTACTATGTAGTCTTCTTATGTCGTCCACAAATTTCGATCAGCGTAATGTAGAAGAGACAACGGTTTACGCGATTGGTATTGACGAAGATTTTGCACACGTGCAAACTTCTATTTTATCGAAGAAGTGCTATGCAATATCTGTTATACGAAACTCGAAAGATATGCATCACAGTTGGCCCCATATACAGGTGCAAGCAAGTAACTGTCATGCATTTTTGCATAAAAAATAAGGAAAGTAGTACACATCTGTAGCACAGAAAAATGAAAACCACTGAAAAAAGAACACATTTCATATGTCGTTCGAAGTGGAAGCGAGTCATACAGATTAAGTTTTTGGTACTTTTTAGATGTCAAATAGCTTTGTATGTTCTGGCTGACTCCAACAACTGGGCATTTGCGATAGCAAAGAGCAAAAAGGCATGTTTCATTCTGAACCGCATTTCTGTTCATCAAATACAGCAAACAGTTTTTGGCAAATATTGCATAGCTAGGATGAATAAAAACCATTAGTGAGAACAAAAATAACTGCACTGGTAAAGTACACCAAAATTAAACAAATCCAAAATCCAATTTTTTCCACGTTCGCTCGTGTCTTAGAAGTTAGTGGGCCTTAAATAAACAGGGCCGACAACAACATACCTGCAGCACTTGTTAATAGGCATATGCACATTGCGCAATAACAAATAAAATTAAAAATTAGTCGACCTTTCACATCATTTTGTAAAAAACAAGCATTTTATAAAAGTACAAAGAGTTCAGGAGCTACAGCTCCATTCATCCATTTCGTTTCCGCTCGACATCCTTATATTGAGGTTTGTTAGGTGGGCCAGAAAAAAGTCTCCCTCTTATGAATGAATTACGAGAGCAAACCGTGAGCTCTGGGTGAACTGATAATATATGCAATCAGAAAAATATTAAGTTAATGACCGTTTTTGCTGAACTGTCCTCTGAGAGTTGCATTTTTACAGAACAGTATTTTTGCTCTTATTATGCGACAGTTTCCACTATTCCGTCAGAAAAAAGCACAACATATCTTTATTCAGTGTTTATCCCATAGCATGCCATGTCCTCCAAATTTTAGCCTTCTAACTACATACTTCTGGATTTATGTTATCTGTATAGGCGCAAGAACGGCCATAATTATGCCATATCTATGTTTTCTGTTTTTGCAATGGCACATAAAACGCATTTGATGAAATGTTTGTGTTAATCTTATGTACTCAAGACTCCCGAACACATCAGTTCCCAACGCAAAATACTCTTCGTGCGCTTTAGTTCAGAAACTGCAGAAGCTCTGAGTTAAAAATTCTGCGAGCGTAACCCCTGGCCTCTTCTCACGGGTGTTGACCGCTGTTGAGCCATGTAACAGGACAGCCACTGGGTTGAAGATGCTTAAAAGCACCGGAAGAGATGTAATGCATGTGCCCTTTACCACCGGAAGAACGAAAAAGCGAAGAGACACACATTAGTCTGCTACTAAGCTACCGCCAAATGGTTGCAGCTATCACAGTAACGTGGCCAGCTGTGCTTATGTTATGAAAATATATATATATATATA